ATAATAATAATATATACCGGATACAGAGCTACGGAATCTGATGGCGCTATATAAATAATAAAATAATAATAATAATAATATATACCGGATACAGAGCTACGTAATCTGATGGCGCTATATAAATAATAAAATAATAATAATAATAATATATACCGGGTACAGAGCTATGGAATCTGATGGCGCTATATAAATAATAAAATAATAATAATAATAATATATACCGGGTACAGAGCTATGGAGTCTGATGGCGCTATATAAATAATAAAATAATAATAATAATAATAATAATAATAATAATATATACCGGATACAGAGCTATGGAATCTGATGGCGCTATATAAATAATAAAATAATAATAATAATAATAATATATACCGGATAGTCAAAGCCAAGAAAAGGGGTGTTATTCAAACCGAAACAATGAAAAAATATATAAATACTGTTTGATTATTTCTGTACAATAAATGATGTCTGTTTAAAAATGGCGTGTGTTCAATAAATATTAGCACTATTTACCACGGTTCTTTTATCAGCCCCTGTGCTTGAGTCTGATTGTGCAGTGAATAATAGTTAAAGTTCATTTGTGAAGGGACTTGAGAAGGAAACTGAATTGGCCCCTTGTGTGTTCTTTGTTTTGTATAATCTCATGTCCTTTTTACATAGGTCCCCACAGACATCACTGAGTCATAACATTCAGGCACTTATTTTCCAACACCAAACTTCTAATTAATCTTGTGTATAGTGTTTACAGCCCAGAGGAACTGGCCGCAGGAGAAGACATCTCCCTCGAGGGCCAATAAGATAAATAATTGAGTATATTTATTGCGATTGATCCAGGACTTACCATTAACACCTAACCTGTTTTGTTCCATTTCTTTGGCCAAATTCCGTGCCCTGACAAGACGCAAACACCTATAATGAGGGCTACAGCTGTCCAGGAAAAGACATTTCTTTGCAATAAGTTTCCAGAATGTCCATCGGGCTCGTATGTAGATAATGACATAACTTCTTATAAATCATTGGTTCCTGGAACAGTGGCTATGGAGATATAATGACACCTTACAAGGAATCTAGATTTTTCTATGTCTGCACTAAAATTAGAATAAAACACAATATATTAGATTTCGACTCATTACTTTGTCGCCACTGCTTTGAGCCTGGAAAACTCTTTAGAAAGTTGTGTGACCCCATTAAAAAAATGTTGAGAATAATAGCTCTATTTAATGTAGAAACAAAGTCCACCCTGCACCTATTGTATTATTTCAACAATACATTTATTTCTTACACATTCTGTATTGTACTGAATCTAAACTCAATTCATTGAATTCATTGTTACCCGTCTTTGAGATATATTACATTGTATACGCTATATTATTCTTATTATTACACTCTCAGAACATATTACATGACTAGATCAAATAACTCGTACATAGGAAGCATGTTTTCTCCACATTTCCTGTAATCCACACGCCCTACAGCACACAGTATTGGAGTATTAGAGCTCCTACAACCCACACTCACTGATCAGCCACTCAGTCTCTGTACACCTCCTACAACCCACACTCACTGATCAGCCACTCAGTCTCTGTACTCCTCCTAAAACCCACACTCACTGATCAGCCACTCAGTCTCTGTACTCCTCCTGTAACCCACACTCACTGATCAGCCACTCAGTCTCTGTACTCCTCCTACAACCCACACTCACTGATCAGCCACTCAGTCTCTGTACTCCTCCTACAACCCACACTCACTGATCAGCCACTCAGTCTCTGTACTCCTCCTGTAACCCACACTCACTGATCAGCCACTCAGTCTCTGTACTCCTCCTACAACCCACACTCACTGATCAGCCACCAGGTCTCTGTACTCCTCCTACAACCCACACTCACTGATCAGCCACTCAATCTCCGTACACCTCCGATAACCCACACTCACTGATCAGCCACTCAGTCTCTGTACTCCTCCTACAACCCACACTCACTGATCAGCCACTCAGTCTCTGTACTCCTCCTATAACCCACACTCACTGATCAGCCACTCAATCTCTGTACTCCTCCTACAACCCACACTCACTGATCAGCCACTCACAACCCACACTCACTGATCAGCCACCAGGTCTGTACTCCTCCTACAACCCACACTCACTGATCAGCCACTCAATCTCTGTACTCCTCCTACAGCCCACACTCACTGATCAGCCACTCAGTCTCTGTACTCCTCCTATAACCCACACTCACTGATCAGCCACTCAGTCTCTGTACTCCTCCTATAACCCACACTCACTGATCAGCCACTCAGTCTCTGTACTCCTCCTACAACCCACACTCACTGATCAGCTACTCACCTTCTGTACCTCTACAGCTCATGCCTCACGATCAGCTACTCAGTTCTTGGGGCCTCTCATAAATTCCACACCTCACTGACTGTGCCATCAGTCTCTGTACTTCCTCCTATAACCCACACTCACTGATCAGCCACTGTCTCTGTACTCTCCTATATACTACACTCTCACTGACAGCTACCAGGTTCCTGTGTACTTCTTGGCACCTTACACTCACTGATCAGCTACCTGGGCCCTCTGTACTCTTCCTACAATTTCACTTCACTATCAGCTACTACCTCTGCATACCTCGAGCAACTACACTTCACTGATTAGCTACCACCTCCGTATACCTTCAAGCAACCCACACTCACTGATCAGCCACTACCCTGTACTCCTCCTATAACCCACACTCACTGATCAGCCACTCAGTCTCTGTACTCCTCCTACAACCCACACTCACTGATCAGCCACCAGGTCTCTGTACTCCTCCTATAACCCACACTCACTGATCAGCCACTCAATCTCTGTACTCCTCCTACAACCCACACTCACTGATCAGCCACTCAGTCTCTGTACTCCTCCTACAACCCACACTCACTGATCAGCCACTCAATCTCTGTACTCCTCCTGTAACCCACACTCACTGATCAGCCACTCAATCTCTGTACACCTCCTATAACCCACACTCACTGATCAGCCACTCAATCTCTGTACTACAACCCACACTCACTGATCAGCCACCAGGTCTCTGTACTCCTCCTACAACCCACACTCACTGATCAGCCACTCAATCTCCGTACACCTCCGATAACCCACACTCACTGATCAGCCACTCAGTCTCTGTACTCCTCCTACAACCCACACTCACTGATCAGCCACTCAGTCTCTGTACTCCTCCTATAACCCACACTCACTGATCAGCCACTCAATCTCTGTACTCCTCCTACAACCCACACTCACTGATCAGCCACTCAGTCTCCGTACACCTCCTATAACCCACACTCACTGATCAGCCACTCAATCTCTGTACACCTCCTATAACCCACACTCACTGATCAGCCACTCAATCTCTGTACTCCTCCTATAACCCACACTCACTGATCAGCCACTCAGTCTCTGTACTCCTCCTATAACCCACACTCACTGATCAGTACTCCTCCTACTCTCACTGATCAGCCACTCAATACACCTCTGATAACCTACCTGATCAGCTCATAATAACCCACACTCACTGATCAGCCACTCAATTCTGTACACCTCCTATAACCCACACTCACTGATCAGCCACTCAATCTCTGTACACCTCCTATAACCCACACTCACTGATCAGCCACTCACCTCTGTACAATTATTTAAGGTAAATTACATCTGTTTGAAAGTGAAACCAGTTTTTTTTTTTTTTTTTTGCAGGCTCTGTCAATCATAGCCAGGGGAGGTGTGGCTAGGGCTGCATAAACAGAAACAAAGTGATTTAACTCCTAAATGACAGTGAATTGAGCAGTGAAATTGCAGGGGAATGATCTATACACTAAAACTGCTTTATTTAGCTAAAGTCATTTAGGTGACTATAGTGTTCCTTTAAATAATTGTATCTCAATCTCTAAATTGAACTTTAATACATACATACAGGAGGCTCTTGCAGGGTCTAGCAAGCTATTAACATAGCAGGGGATAAGAAAATCTTAATTAAACAGAACTTGCAATAAAGAAAGCCTAAATAGGGCTCTCTTTACAGGAAGTGTTTATGGAAGGCTGTGCAAGTCACATGCAGGGAGGTGTGACTAGGGTTCATAAACAAAGGGATTTAACTCCTAAATGGCAGAGGATTGAGCAGTGAGGCTGCAGGGGCATGTTCTATACACCAAAACTGCTTCATTAAGCTAAAGTTGTTCAGGTGGCTATAGTGTCCCTTTAAATTACATACCTTATTTACATTCCGGTCCTTGTTCAGTTTGTGAGACATGTATAGGAGGTCTTCTTTTTGATTTGTTTTGTTTTATGGTCTGGGGATCTCTTGAACTATCCATGAGAATACATTTCAGCTAATAATTTAAAGGATCACTATAGGACCAGGAACACAAACATGTTAACACCACCATCTAGCCCCCTGGGGTATTCAAGCCTGAAGCTGTAACTCTGCATGCTGTCTGCCTCAGAAAAACAATCAGTCTGCTGACATCATCAGAAGTGGTAGCCTGATCCAATCACAGTGCTTCCCCATAGGATTGGCTGAGACTGACAAAGAGGCAGATCAGGGTCAGAGCCAGCATGATTCAAACACAGCCCTGGCCAATCAGCATCTCCACATAGAGATGAATTGAATCAATGAATCTCTATGAGGAAAGTTCAGTGTCTGTACGCAGAGGGAGGAGACACTGAATGTTTGGATGCATTTTAGGCAGCCATGACCCAGGAAGGATCTCTAACAGCCATCTAAGGAGTGGCCAGTGAAGTTATCACTAGGCTGTAATGTAAACACTGCATTTTCTCTGAAAAGACAGTGTTTACAGCAAAAAGCCTGAAGGTAATGATTCTACTCACCAGAACAAATTCAATAAGCTGTATCCTATACAATAAGCTGTATATCATTCAATAAGCTGTAGTTGTTCTGGTGACTATAGTGTCCCTTTAATTATATTGTGCTGTTATCGCATTACTTATATAGTTACAGCCTAGTTTACTTCACTACATTTGAGTTTATTATATGCTTAATTTTATTGGTGAGTATTCTGGGTGTATTATCCTTGAAAAGTACTCTTGGTGTAATATTCTTCATGAGTACTTTGGGCATAATATCCTTGAAGAGTACTCTCGGTGCATCATTCTTGGTGAGTACTCTGAATGTATTATCCGTGATGGGTACTCTGAATGTATTATCTTTGGTGGGTACTCTTGGTGTATTATCCTTGATGGGTACTCTTTCCGTGATGGGTACTCTGAATGTATTATCCGTGATGGGTACTCTTGGTGTATTATCTTTGATGGGTACTCTCGGTGCATCATTCTTGGTGAATACTCTGAATGTATTATCCTTGATGGGTACTCTGAATGTATTATCTTTGGTGGGTACTCTTGGTGTATTATCCTTGATGGGTACTCTTTCCTTGATGGGTACTCTGAATGTATTATCTTTGGTGAGTACTCTTGGTGTATTATCTTTGATGGGTACTCTTGGTGTATTATCCGTGATGGGTACTCTGAATGTATTATCCTTGATGGGTACTCTTGGTGTATTATCCTTGATGGGCACTCTTGGTGTATTATCCGTGATGGGTCCTCTGAATGTATTATCCTTGATGGGTACTCTTGGTGTAGTATCCTTGGTGAGTATTCTGAGTGTAGTATCCTTGGTGAGTCCTCTGGGTATCTTTGTGAGAACCTTGCCTCATTGTCTCACTGACCAGTAACATAGGCCCTGGGTAAATACTGAATATGATTTTGCAAAGTATTATGGGGTGGTAGTCACTAAATAGCACATAGTAGACTACTTTTTTTTGTTAATTTCTTTTTATTTCATATTCTATACAGTGTACATGGGATATACATGTACTGTATATGTAAAAAAATAAACAGCTAACATTGGTTTGTAATCATTTCTTAGAAATTATGAACTGATGCACGTGGTAGTTTTTAGGCTCCTGTTTAAGTCATTTACCCTGATTACAATCCTTATACCAGGAATATCTGTAACTATTTTTGGATTACTGGAGGGCTTGCTAGTGACATCATGTGGTTAGATCAGATAACTGCATCAACATAATCTAGGCCTGGTGCTGCTGATGCTATTATGTAAATTATATAAATGATTGTTGCATATCAGTAAAAAGATTGACATTGATCTAAGACAAACGTGAGAAAATGTTTTGTAGTAAAAATAACTAACATATACAATTACAAACAGACGGTAAACAGTAGGCAGGACATTTGCTAAAACACAGAAAAGACATACAATGTTTTCATTTCACTTCCTGTTTATGCTGTGTGTAAATCACTTAATGTTTGTTAATGAATCAGTGCTGTCTGTGAATAAAGGCTTAATACATCATTTAATATACATAAAATCTATAGTTCAATTGTGGCAATGCATAATATCCTGTTTGTGGTGCTATGCAACAGAATTCAGGACATGGGCAACAGAATACAGGACATGGGCAACAGAATGCAGGACATGGGCAACAGAATACAGACATGGGCAGGAGAATACAGGACATGGGCAACAGAATACAGGGCATGGGCAGGAGAATGCAGGACATGGGCAGGAGAATGCAGGACATGGGCAGGAGGATACAGGACATGGGCAGGAGAATACAGGACATGGGCAGGAGGATACAGGACATGGGCAGGAGAATGCAGGACATGGGTAACAGAATACAGGACATGGACAGGAGAATACAGGGCATGGGCAGGAGATAACAGGACATGGGCAGGATAATACAGGACAAGGACAGGAGAATACAGGACATGGGCAACAGAATACAGGGTATGGGCAGGAGATAACAGGACATGGGCAACAGAATACAGGATATAGACAGGAGAATGCAGGACATGGGCAGGAGAATACAGGACATATGCAGGAGATAACAGGACATGGGCAAAAGAATACAGGGCATGGGCAGGAAAATACAGGACATGGACAGGAGAATACAGGATATGGGCAATGAGAATACAGGGTACTCTTTATATAGGAAAGATAGGGAAGGCAAGAAAGGGGGAGGGGTGGCCTTGTATGTGAAGGATATCATAAAATCTAGCCTAATAAAAGTTAGTGAGGCAAACATAGAGTCCGTTTGGGCTACGTTAGAATTTGGTAATCACACAGTAACTCGTGTAGATGTGATTTATAGGCCCCCAGGACAAATTGAAGAGTTAGATAATCTACTAGTTGAGGAAATAGCTAAAATGACAATGAAGGGGGAAGTTATCATCATGGGTGACTTTAATCTTCCTGATGTAAATTGGAAAACAAAATTAGCTACTTGTGCCAGGAGCACACATATTCTAAACTCCCTACTGGGATTGTCTCTAAAACAAGTTGTTGAGGAGCCAACTCGTAAAGAGGCCATACTAGATTTAGTGTTAACAAATGGAGATTTGGTATCAGATATTACTGTAGGTGAAAGTTTAGGATCCAGTGATCATCAGTCAGTGTGGTTTAATATAAGAACAGTGACTGAGTCACACCACACAAAAACAAAAGTTTTAGACTTTAGAAAAACAGACTTTTCTAAAATTAGAATATGGGTAGAGGAGTCATTATCAGACTGGAGCAATTTAAATGGAGTCCAAGAGAAATGGGATTATTTAAAAGTTGCACTATTGAAGGAAACAGAAAATTGCATTAGGCTTGTCAGTAAAAGCAAAAAATTCAAGAAACCACTGTGGTACTCCGCAGATGTGGCCAAAATAGTTAAAAACAAAAAGTTAGCATTTAGGAATTATAAAAAAACCCAGAGTGAGGAAGACAAAATGATCTATAAGATTAGGCAGAAAGAGGCTAAGCAAGTTATAAGAGCTTCCAAATCACACACAGAAGAGAAAATAGCACAGTCAGTAAAAAAGGGGGATAAAACATTTTTTAGATACATAAATGAGAAAAGAAAAGTAAAACAAGGATTAGTTAGATTAAAAACAAAAGAAGGAAGGTATGTAGAAGAGGATAAAGGTCTAGCTGACTGCCTCAATGAATATTTTTGTTCTGTATTTACAGATGAAAATGAAGGAAAGGGACCTCAGTTGAGAAAAAGGATAAATGAGTCATTTATTACACGTGAGTTTACAGAGGAAGAGGTTCTATTTCAACTGTCAAAAGTAAAGACAAATAAGTCAATGGGACCTGATGGAATACACCCAAAGCTATTAAAAGAGCTTAGTGGTGTACTAGCAAAACCATTAACAGATTTATTTAACCAATCATTGTTAACAGGAGTAGTCCCAGAAGATTGGAAGTTAGCGAATGTTGTGCCCATTTACAAGAAAGGTAATAGGGAGGAGTCGGGCAACTATAGGCCAGTAAGCCTTACTTCAGTAGTGGGGAAAGTGATGGAACCATGTTAAAGGTAGGATTGATGAACATTTAAAAACACATGGATTTCAAGATCAGAGACAACATGGGTTTACTTCAGGGAGATCATGCCAAACTAATCTTATTGATTTTTTTGATTGGGTAACTAAAATTCTAGATCAGGGTGGTGCAGTAGACATTGCTTACCTAGATTTCAGTAAGGCTTTTGACACTGTTGCACATTGAAGGCTTATCAATAAACTGCAATCTTTAAGTATTGATTCAAATATTGTTGAATGGGTAAGGCAGTGGCTGAGTAACAGGCAACAGAGGGTTGTAGTTAATGGAATATATTCGAAGCTTGGACTTGTCACCAGTGGGGTACCTCAGGGATCTGTACTTGGACCCATTCTCTTTAATATTTTTATTAGTGATATTGCTGAAGGTCTTGATGGTAAGGTATGTCTTTTTGCTGATGATACCAAGATATGTAACAGGGTTTATGTTTTTAGGAGGGATAAGCCAAATGACAAATGATTTAGGTAAACTAGAAAAATGGTCAGAATTGTGGCAACTGACATTTAATGTGGATAAGTGCAAGATAATGCATCTTGGACGTAAAAACCCAAGGGCAGAGTACAGAATATTTGATAGAGTCCTAACCTCAACATATGAGGAAAGGGATTTAGGGGTGATTATTTCTGATGACTTAAAGGTAGGCAGACAATGTAATAGAGCAGCAGGAAATGCTAGCAGAATGCTTGGTTGTATAGGGAGAGGTATTAGCAGTAGAAAGAGGGAAGTGCTCATGCCATTGTACAGAACACTGGTGAGACCTCACTTGGAGTATTGTACACAGTACTGGAGACCGTATCTTCAGAAGGATATTGATACCTTAGAGAGGGTTCAGAGAAGGGCTACTAAACTGGTTCATGGATTGTGGGATAAAACTTACCAGGAAAGGTTAAAGGATCTTAAGATGTATAGCTTGGAGGAAAGACGAGACAGGGGGGATATGATAGAAACATTTAAATATATAAAGGGAATCAACACAGTAAAGGAGGAGACTATATTTAAAAGAAGAAAAACTACCACAACAAGAGGACATAGTCTTAAATTAGAGGGACAAAGGTTTAAAAATAATATCAGGAAGTAATACTTTACTGAGAGGGTAGTGGATGCATGGAATAGCCTTCCAGCTGAAGTGGTAGAGGTTAACACAGTAAAGGAGTTTAAGCATGCGTGGGATAGGCATAAGGCTATCCTAACTATAAGATAAGGCTAGGGACTAATGAAAGTATTTAGAAAATTGGGCAGACTAGATGGGCTGAATGGTTCTTATCTGCCGTCACATTCTATGTTTCTATGTTTCTATGTTTCTAATACAGGACACGGGCAACAGAATACAGGACATGGGCAGGAGAGTACAGGACAAGGGCAGGAGAGTACAGGTCATGGGCAACAGAATAGAGGACATGGGCAGGAGAATACAGGACATGGGCAGGAGAATACAGGACATGGGCAGGAGAATACAGGATATGGGCAAGAGAATACAGGACATGGGCAGGACAGCACGGGACATGGGCAGGAGAATACGGGACATGGGCAGGATAATACAGGACATGGGCAGGAGAATGCAGGACATGGGCAGGAGAATACAGGACATGGGCAGGAGATAACAGGACATGGGCAGGAGAATATAGGACATGGGCAACAGAATACAGGACATGGGCAGGATAATACAGGACACCGACAGGAGATAACAGGACACGGGCAGGACAACACAGCACATGGGCAGGAGAATACAGGACATGGGCAGGATAATGCAGGGCATGGGCAGGAGAATGCAGGACATGGGCAGGAAAATACAGGACATGGGCAGGAGATAACAGGACATGGGCAGGAGAATACAGGAGATGGGCAGGACAACACATGACATGGGCAGGACAACACATGACATGGGCAGGAGAATACAGGACATGGGCAACAGAATGCAGGACATGGGCAGGAGAGTACAGGACAAGGGCAGGGGAATACAAGACATGGGCAGGAGAATGCATGACATGGGCAGGAGAATACAGGACATTGGCCGGAGAATACAGGACATGGGCAGGAGAATACAGGACATGGGCAGGAGAATACAGGACATGGGCAAAAGAATACAGGACATAAGCAGGACAATAGAGGACATGGGCAGGAGAATACAGGACATGGGCAGGACAACACATGACATGGGCAGGAGAATACAGGACATGGGCAGGAGACAGGTCAGGTGGGTAGTATGGTGGTGAGGTGGAGACAGAGAAGATACACAGAACCAATAGCTCGAAGAATAAAACAGGACAGGTGGTAACGTGACACTAGAGACACAGAACTAGTGAGAGGGAGAGATGAGAGATTTAAACAGCT